TCCTCCTTCGCCAGTGAATATTTCAGATTTTGCTCATGTTAAGAAGCTTTGTGCAATCCATGACAGCGACTCTCCAATTCGGCATACCTCAACAACACGGAAAAACACCTCATGTCATCGAAATGACAACTTTTAGCAACAAATGCGGAAAACTTGCTTAACTTTAAAATAAATAAATAAATACATACATACATACATACATACATACATACATACATACATACATACATACATAAATGGTTTGACAGCGTTGACTGAGCACCAGAGAAAAAAGGATGTATCCCAATTAACTGGCGGGACGTTAGCCGAGCAGAATCCCGTTAAAAGGGGTTTTAAGACACTTAATGCGATTTTTTAAAAGCGGAAAATACAACAAATTCGATGTTTTTACGTCCCCCAAACCAAACGGGATAGTTGTTTGTTAACACTTGTGGAAAATCCCAAATCTGTTGCTAATAAGTGGGTATCAAGAAAGAAACGGCAGCTCTGACCGTTACCCGGATGCTGAGCGGTATAGACAACCGGGACAAGACGGAGCCCCGAAAAAAAGCGGACTTTTGGCGATTAAAAGTTTACAAAAGGAAAGAAAAAACCTTACCTCCACTCGGTGGATCCTCCAAAAGCGGTCCCAGCCGGCAAGCTCTTGTCGGCGGTGTGTCCGTTGGAGGGGCTTCGTGAAGGTGAACCGGAGAAAAAAAATCCAACTGCCGTAAACGTCTCTTCTGCGCGAGCTGAGAGAAAAACAACAAATCCGTTTATATTTATTATTTTTTAAACAAACTGTATGTCGTTAGATAATGCAGCACATGTTGGAAATATTTAAAGAAATATATATTGTAAATATTAATATAATGTGAAAACAAGTCAATTTGACAATATCCAGGATAATACTGGAAAATAATATTTCTACTGTTGTTATAAAAAAAAAAGTTGTAATATTTCCACAGAAAAAGGCCAGATGATAACCAGAAAGGATTAATAAAAATAAAAAGTTTATTTGAAATACTATTTTTTCACAAGCCTATGAGGTAAGATGCCGCCCCTAAGAACTGATGTATACTTTGGATATTATTATAGGTGCCCCTAGCCGGTGTCTGTGAACAGCTTCTAGCTCGAGTGCTCACATCTAACAAGTTTACATTTTACAGGTGAGCTCGGGATGGCCTCTCCTCAGAATAATCAGACTTTGGGGTTAAATTAGTGCAAAAATAGCTCAGCTAGAGGTCAAAGGTCACTTCTTCTAAAACGCTGTATCAAGGCAGGAAGGGGCAACTGCATCCCTCTACTGAAGACCCTCTAGTTATAATATGGAAACTCGTCAACATAGCACATAAATGTAATATTGGCAAACATAACTCTGACTATTTTGAGGAAAAGCTCTTTCCCCAAAATAAAAGAAAATGTATCTGCATGCTTCAAAAAAGTACTTTTGAAAGTACTTTTAAATTGTCGTACCTGCCTGAGGGCAATAGATGTGAATGAGCTGGTAGCTAACAGTAGAACAAATACTTTACTTGTGCTCTGTCTCTGAAAAAATAAACAATAAAATGAAAAAAATAAAAATTATTGCATCATGTCATAAGCAAAAATGTTGAAGTACTTTTAAAAATGTTGTATTTATTAGTCACTTTTGAAGGGAAAAAACTACAAGCAGTAAATAATAAAGATTTAGTGAAGATATGACATAAAAACATTGTAATTTTTTTAAGTGTTAATGTTTGAGGTTATATTATTGGATATCATATTTAATGAAGAAACAGTAATATTTCTAGAAAAAAGACTGGTAATCGAATACTTTGGGAAAAATAATGTTGCATTATGTCACAAGCAAAAATGTGCAGCCAAAATTTAAAAACCGAGACTTGCATAGTAGGTGGAGCAGTGGTTAGCATCGTTGCCTCGCAGCAAGAAGGTCGCCGATTTGCATCCTGGTGAGGACACCTGGGATCTTTCTGGAGTTTGCATGTTCTCCACGTGCAGCGTGGGTTCTCTCCGGGTTCTCCAGCTTCCTCCCACACAGTCCAAAAACATGTTGAGGTTAATTGGTGATTCTAAATTGTCCGTAGGTGTGAATGTGAGTGTGCTTGGTTGTCTGTCTCTAAGTGTAGCCCTGTGATAGACTGGTGACCTGTCCAGGGTGTCCCCTGCCTTCACCCAGAGTCAGCTGGGATAGACTCCAGCCCCCCATGACCCCAATAAGGATTAAGCGGTGTATAGATAATGGATGGATGGACGGATGGATTGAAACTTTATTTTGAGTCTCTGAAATACATAGAAAACAACAAGAAATTTTTAACAGCCCTTCAGTTATTTCAGTATTACTGTCTTTCAGTTGGAATGTCTGGATAAGTTTGTATATATCTTGTTCCTACTATTACACACTATTCATTGTTGAACTTAAATAAAGATTGGGAAAAAAACAAAACAAGTGTCCATACACCACACAAGTGAGATGCGGCAGACATACCAGTTACAGACAGACCTGCACATGGAAGTGACACCAATGGGAGCGCAGAGAAGGAAACAGGGAGGGCCGCAGCTGAACCCTTCACAGAGCACTCCTTGAAATACTTGGGAAATTAAAATTATGCATAACTTTAAGCCGCAATACAATTCAAACAGTTAAGTTATATTAAAATTCACCACACATGCAGTTTTCATAGACAGGGAAATTGGATATAGAAACCACAACAGCTTTGTGTACGCGGCTGTAACCATGTTTATCTCAGCTGCACATTTTAACATGGAGGTTGGGGGGGGGCTTCCTGTTTCTGAAAATGACTTCCTGAGTGGAGACTGTACAGCTCCGTACTTTCACTTTAACCTCAGTTGAAACTATGACTGTAAACAAACAAACAAAACCAACCTTAGACCGGATGTGGGTGTGAATACAGGCTGCGCCACCATCGTTGTTCTCCTACAATAGAAAAGCAAAAAAGGAAACGCATTCACGGTCTGACCACCTCTGGATTTCATGTTTGACCGTTTTCATTTACAGTTTTTTATTTAAATACATATATACTGAAGCAGTTACCAAGGAACAATGTTGTTGAATTTTATTCTTATGCTTGTTTCCCTGATGTCTTTTCTGGGCGACTACCAAGTGTCCAGCTGCGGTAAGCAAAGAGTTTTTCTTCTGTAGTCGAGCTTTAAGGTTGTTTCTTGTATAGCATATTGATTAGCAATAACATCATCCTGTTTGTTTCACAAAACATCACTGTCCTGCAGCTGCTGAATCTTAATCTGAAACTTTGAACTACTTTTACAACTGAGAACAAGACTTGTTGTTCTTTCTTGTTTTATGATTTATTCAAGTTTTCTATAACTTTGCTCTTGTAAACTGATGGAAGAAGTCAGTAGTTATTACAAAATCAGCGTTTACAGAGAGACTGTCTATTATCTAAAACAGCGGCTCTAACATTATTTCCCATGTGTACAAAAATAAAAGTAGTGAACTGCTTAGAATGACTAA